GCCGTAACACATTCACCCTGATCCTTGGAAGGAAAACGAAGATCCCAAAGGAAACTAAAAGAAATCCAATCGTCAGTCCACATGTGCAAATAGCCCTGATGTCCTAAGGGGTCTATGAGGAATCTGCTAGGAGGTCGTTCCCCAAGGGTTTTGGAAGTTGTAGGACCATCTTACTCTGGTGCAGGGTCCTGTGTGCAGAGTGTAGAGCAACACAGAAAATCACATACACACAAATACACAGAGAGAGAAATATGTGTGTATGTCTTTCTACACAACCTATGACAATCTAAAAATCAAAATGGGGTGCAAGGCATCAGTCTTCTGAGGAACATCAGCTGTCACAAAAGCTTAGGTTCAAACTGGAGTAGTAAATTAACCCTGTCAACAGGTAATATTTAGTCTATAGGGACTGAAATCCTGGTCTGATTATGGCATTAGGGCTGTCTTAGTGGACACCTAAGAAGGATGGTGGCAAGAACTATTGCTCCAGGGGAAAAAGTCATGTGCCGGGACATAATGCCACAATAACATTCCTAAAAATGATCATAAATGACTTTATGCAGCAGCTAGTTAATGAATCTACTGGAGAAAAAAAAAACTTGTGTCTTGGGCCCAGGCAGTTTGCTTGTTCTGCTTTGAAATTCAAGCAGAATCAGTTTGCAAAAGTCATTGCAATGCCCCTGGGTCGGAGCAACGAACACCCAGAAACACACCAGAGCTGGAGCCAGTTTCCAATGGGGTAACTGCCTGAGAAAGAAGATACATTTTTTAAATGAAAATTTTTCTTGAAAATACAGTAAGAAGGGTATAAAACGATAAGATTTCCTGCAGGGCACAAGGCAGCTATTTATGGACCCATTACTAGACTCTCTCAGCAAATGAATGCCACCTGCTAGGGAAACCAGAGGTGAGCTGGCAGGATTGAACTGCAGGCTACAGGGGGGCTGATAGAAATAATGCTGTTAAAATTGTCCTCAAAGGGAGACGTAGGAATTCAATGTAGAAAATATAACAAAAGGAGCAAACTGCACAAGCATAAAAAATAATAAAAAAGCCATTTTCATAAATATCCCAATGACGAAGTCTGCCAAAGCATCATATAGCCAATTCAGTACAAGGACAAGGTACAAAAGGAGTGTTTGGAAAAGAGCAGAAACAATATATATATTTTTTTGCATATATATGTTCACAGTGAAGGTTGCTGGAGGGTTTACCAGGGTAAAATTTGTCAGTAGAGATGTTCTGAAATCCAGATGTCTGTAGAGGCTTGGACCAAAACCAACCTGAACTGGAGCAAAAGGCCAGGACCAGATGGTTTTCACCCTGGAGCACTAGAGATGAAATCTCTGCATTACTTTTAGCACAAAGAAACGGGACTTCTTCTCTGTTAGAGAAATGGAAGGTTGCTAATGGGATGTCAGCTATTAAAGAGGTTTTAGGGGAGATGGGGGGGCATGACACCTGAGGTTTAAGAGATCTGCCAAATTTACTCCCAATTTACTGGATGCATTGCCCCCACTGTGATTACGTGGGCTACAAGCCTTTCCTGACGTGACCTGTGGGCCCGGTGGCCATGTAGCCCAGGCGGGCAGTGCAGAGTCCACTCTGCTCCAGGCTGCTCACGAGGGCACAGCTGGCTGTCAAACCCTCGCTAGCTGCCACTTTAGCAGACCGAAGGGTCCTGGTCTGGCTAATTGGAAGTCGAGCCATAACTTGGTCTTTTTTGTTAGCTTCTCTGCATTTTCTCCATTTCTTCTGTACCCTTTTGAGATGGGGAAGGAAGGTGAAGAGAAATCAAAACTGCACACAGTATTCAAGATGGGGCTCCACCCTGCATTTACATGTTACTGCATAGTGATATTCTCTTTAATTTTATATTCCTTTCCTAATGATTTTTAATTTTCCATTTGCTTCCCTAGCCACTACTCGTTGCTGAATGAATGTTTGCCTAGAGCTGTCTGTTGTAACCCCAAAGTCTTGCTCCTGAGCACCTATGGTGAACTCAGAGGCCTCAATTTTAAACGAGAAGTTAGAATTGTTTCTCTCTTTATTTTAGATTTATCTACCCTGAAATTTTGTCTTCTCTTGCTCCCATCCAGTCACAGAGCTCTTCAAGCTCCTTCTACAGTTCTCCACGCTCAGATCTCGTCTCTACCAGCCTGGTCACTCAGCATCACCTCCCTACTCGCTCCTTTTCCAGGTAATATATAAATGTGCTAAAAAGCACACAAATCCAAGCACAGGTCCCCACAGGTCTCCCTCCATTGTCACAACTGAACACTTAAATTTCCCCTCTCTTTTCAGGCTTTTAATAAATTATTTAGTCATGCAGAGACCTTCCTTCTTATCCTAGCTCAGTTTCTTTGGGAGCCTTTGGTAAGGAAACTTCTTGAAATCCATGTAGATGGTATCATCTTCCGCGTTCACATGCCTGTTAGCACATTCAGAGAAATCCAGTATGTTTGTAAGGCATGAATCTTTTGCAAAACCCCTGCTGATTCTCCACTAGTATGTATGTCATATCCACCTATGCGGCCACTGACTCAGTCTTTCAGAGTAGTTTCTACTAGTTTGCCGGGTACAGATTATTACTCGGAGTTTTTTCAGGTTTACATTATCGCGTTCTAAGATTTAACCAGTGAGAGCAGATTTGGTCCTGTTTTCCTCATTGCCTCAGCTCTTCCTCAAGGAATGCTTCCCTGCTTATAAGAACCTCCTTTACTCTGCTTCTCTAGTAATGACAGAGTCAGTTTTTGCTTTCCGGAGCTTCTTTTTTTCAGCTATGGCATGCATTTGCTCTGAGCCTCTCACTTGGCTCTCCTTAACCAATTTCCATGTAACTTGCAAGGAGTTAACTCTTTTAATCTCTTGTTTTGGCTTTGTTTTAACCAGCTTTCTCCTTTTTTAGACAGTTGTCTCTTTTCTGAAATTGGTCTCACAGACGGTGGATTTTTTCTGTTTTTACTGTTCCTGCAGCAGTGCTGACCACAGTGTTGCAGTGCATCTTACTCCTAACCAAGGCCAGAGCTACTTCTCTGGTGGGCTGCTAACTGGCTGATCCGTGGAGCATTTAGCCCCTGTATTGCTTCCCAGTATGACTTTAATCCAATTTTCATGTGAGAGGCTGGATTCTCCCTTTATGATTGTGTTTTCCTCCTTTCTCTGCCCCTCTGATTGCCATTTGCAGGTCACAGGTTTGTGAAGTTCTTGTCATGAGACTGAAGCCCTGGAGGAACAAGCCTGAAAGGGGACAAACCTGTCTGGAAGGTATCCGAATACCACGGCCCCCACTGTAACGCCAAGGAAGAAGAAGGTTGCAGTCGCCTGGTTCAGCCTGTGCTGTTCACACACGAGGTCCCACTGACACAAGGCCAAAATGGCACTTAGTGCCCAGTTCAGTCTCTGTTGCCTTTTCACACCCTTTCCCTCCAGTGGTCAGTCATCGTGTCTATCAATTTATATCGGCCAAATCTGATCGAAGGGTAGAATCCTGCAAGCTTGCTGGGTACCACTCATCATGGAGAGTTCCCCTTTTTCCTCCTCTGACCCCTGCGATAGCTGCTGTCAAGCTGCCTGGGTGCACATCTCCCCCAGCTGCCTCTGTCTGCTCCTGGGACTGCCCTGGTGAGATGGCCATTTGCAGGGAGCCACACTGCAGTGCTCTGTCAGATGTGCCTCAACCTTCATTAGGGAACGTCGTCTTGATATCCAGGTACTGTTGCCCTGACCAGTTTGAAGTTGTCTGTGCAGGGAGGAGTGAGGGCAGAGGGGGAGTCAGACCAAATACTTGCTCCTGATGCTAGCTTACTGATTTCTTGCTGAGCTGTTGGTCTAGACGTTGTTCCTAATTAAGTTAATAAGCATCATTTTACTTTCCTGGAGGTGCTAATGTCACCAATCTTTACAGAATGCTGTGGCCAAGCTGCAGAGTTAATTTTCAATATGTGCGAACTTGGCAAAACTTAATCATCAACCCAACCTTGAAGCCTCTCTCACAAAGCCAGCCAGACCTCGAGCAACGTTTCTAGCTGCAAGAGCAAAAGACTCCAGGGAAAGCCCTGGCCCCTTGAACATGCCACGAGGTCACAGCATTGTGGATGCAGCATCACGAGGCTGCATGCTCAGCATCCGTGCTGCAGAGCACCTCCCCTGCCTTTTCCCTCGCGGGTTCTTTACACCTTTCTCCCTGAAACAGCGCAGAAATCAGGTACAAACTTGGTGCACATCTGACCCTCACCTCCGTGCCTGTGAAAACCAGGGGTGGTTGGGTGGTGGGGAGGAGGCATCAGCTCTAGGTTAAGACTTGGCCCAGCAGTCACTGAGACAGCACTATCATTTCCAACCCAACCATGCCCCTTTTGTCTGACCAAATTGCACCCTTCCGTAAGACCTCCTGTGATTTGGGCTGCTTTTCAGGCAAGGAAAATTACAGCCTGCAGGTAAAGCATTAACACCCAGAGGTATCACCGCCCACCTTAGCAAAGCATTTCAGAAGGCACGTGGTTAATGTTTGATGGGCAGGCACCTTGGGCAGACTCAAGGTTACGGCTGGACCAGCATGCTGCATCTCAGCGGGAGGCCCTTGGAGAGCACATTGGGCTTGACAGAAAGGGATGCTGGTGGTAAGAGAAGAGAAGTAGCATGATCTTGGGGAGAAGAGGGGGAAGCTGGATATAAGTGAGGAGGGGCAGTGAACAGAATACAAGTTACAAAGTGTTTGGCAAATCAAGAAAGTCATGGGCTCATATGAAGTCCTGACAGGGTGTAACCCTGTGCAAATGCCGTGTGTCCCAAGCAGAGAAAATCCTGTATGTGTGTCTTCCCCTGCCCGCCCCCCCCTCCCCGATCTCTCAATCACCTGGAGAAATTAAGGTGCTTATAACAAGAAATGTTGTCTTCTAACTATCAATCTAGAGCCAGATGCTCATAGTAATAATAATAAATGTTGGCTTCTAACTCTGAGCTTCAGAGAGCTTCCCCATTCCAGGAAATCTTCTCTAAAGAAGTAATTTCCACTAGTTAAAACGCAAAGGTTCCCCTCTGATTCTGTGCACCCAGTGAACACCTCTCCATTTGCTCCTCAAAACAGTGAGCTAATTTCATTTTCAGCTAGATCACAGGCCAGGTGTTACCTGAGTGGAGATGGTGGAGGTGAACTGCGAGTGGTCATACACCCATCCGTGCTGGCAGTGCTGGATGATGGAGTTGTTTTCTGGTTGCAGAGAAGAATTGAACAGCAGGTGAAACTGAGGCTGCGTGAACATCTCGCAGGACTGAAAGTGCCGTCAGGCTCCCGGGGGATGCTGATGAGCAGAACTTCCTCCATGGTGAGGTTCACAAATGCCTCTTGGTGTGGAGTTGCACAGCGATGAGAGGGGGTAGCAGCAAGAAAATTGTGCAGTAAGAAATGCATGGGAAGGCTGATTCTTGGGAGGCAGAAAATAAACAAAATCAAAAGCTGGCATCTGCCAAAGCCCCCAGTTTCCAGCAAGAGATCCTCAAATTTCATCTTTTCTGTGGAGTTCACTCATTCAGAGCAGCTATGTACCCAGAAGCAGCAACATGAGCCTGAAAAGTGGTCTCTGTCCTTGGAGCTCAACTTCCCATGGCTTTTCATACAGCCACTTTGTTGGACTTTGAGACCTTACTGAAAGGTTGTCAAAAGTCACAGTGAAACTCTCCATTTGGGGTAGAGCCAAAGAAATTATCCTGTGTGCACACAACACATCCATTTCAAGTGGACCCAGCACAAGGCACCTTCTCTTTTTAGAGTATTTCCTCCTGTTGCTGCTTTTGAGAGGGAGATCCACATTAGGAAAGGAGGCTGTGGGAAGAGTGCTGTGAAAGCGCTGTCAGTTCTGGTGTGGGGTATCATGCAACCTCCCAGGCACTGCAACAAACTCTGTCTAGTGTGGGCTGATCACCAGCCAGCCCAGCTGGACTATAAAACAGGCCCCCAGGAGAGCAGTGGTGATGCCCAGGGGCACCAAAGCCTGGTTGCTGCGCATCAGCCAAGTGTTTTTTTGGTACGACTTGTGTCAAGTCATGGAGTCCCTAGGGAGCAGGGAGTATGGGAGAGGGTGAGAGTGTGCCCAGAGGAGAAGAGAGATGAGTCTCTGGATGGATCCAAACAGGGAGGTGAGCACTCTGGGGTGGGCTGCAGATGAGGGCCACCTGCTCACCAATATCCTCCAAAAGGATGGTAAAAGCGAAAATGTTTCCCCACAAAGTCCTTTTCTCTGCCTGGGAAAGTGCTTTCCCAGGACGCATGCAAGGAAGCGGTGAGAGCTGCAGCGCTGGCACGCAGGAAGGCTGCGCCTGCCATACGGGGGGACACGACATACTCCTGCGAAGTCACAGCCACGTGCTGGTCTGCTCTGGGGACCAATGCAACAGACAAAGCAGGGAGTGTGCAGCCCCTGACAGGGCCACAGGTCCTGCTGCCACCACTGCATGGGTCTTGCACCGTGGTTCTTCCACTGCCTGCTTCAGGCAGCAGTCTCCTGGAAGAAGTGGGACATTAATGTGTATTTCTACTCTTCTAATGCTCTTAACCAAGGAAGCCAGCCCTTTATTCAGCTGCAGCCACTGCAGAAGAACAGTGCATCTGAGAAGCTGAAAGGTGCCTGGTCATCAAAGTTGTATAACACACAGTTGTATATCACACAGCTGCTCGGCAACAGCTTTGACCCTAGGGTGACAGGGAGCAGACAAATTGCTGAAATTTTTGAAGAGAAACAATGCCTGGAAAATGCAGCAACTGGGAAGACGTGGCATCAGAGCTGGCACAGTTTGGTTCACACAACCAAAAGAGTTCAAAGAGTCCTAGTCGATGAGTCAGAAACAAAAAAATCCAGAAGTGGTAGTTTCAGGTACCACAGGCCTGCCAAAATTTCCAGGAGGTGTACAACCTCTTCCATGGCCAGCAGAGACCGGGCTAGAGGCTGACTGGCACTTCAAGACAAGACAGACACAAATCCCTGCCCCACAACTGAGCAAGCTTAGGAAAAAGGGAGGAGATTAGGGCAGTTAAACTGGGAGCGATGGGAGAAGGGGCCCAACGCTGACACTGTCTGGAAAGCCTGCAGGACCCTTTCCTGCAAGTCCCTGAAACACCCTGGTCACATCTGAGCACAAGACATGAGCGCATTTCCCTTGCAGCGAGTGCTCTGGACAGGCTGGACCCATGGGGCAGCCCCTGGGGATAACACATCCCGAATGGTCATGTCCCGACAGGTTCGGGGAGCGGTGCAGGGGCAGCACCCCGTTGCCCCTTCAAAGGCTACGACCCCTTCGCAGGGTGCACGTGAAGTGGCACGGTTACTGACAGTTGCTGTAGGTTACCTCCTGCTGCATCTTCACACTCTGTACCTCTCTCCTCACAGTCTGCATCCTCCTCCTCCACCAACCCTGCAGTCCTGAGTGCTGTTGGATGCTGACGCGTCATCCCAAACCTTTCTCCAAGCTGTTATCCTGAGACATGCTCTGCTTTAAAGCAGCTCTGGTTTGACCATCCACCTAGCAAGCGGTGACGTTCGGTGCTGGGATGCCGGTGTGTCTGGAGGCCGAGCACAGATAAAGCGCAAGTGCTGCCGAGAGCTGCCTTGTCTGCACAGCCTCGGCCGGTGACTGCCTGCCCTGGTCACTGCAGCAAAGGGCTGGTGAGAAAGGGCTGTAGAGCAGTGGGTAGAGATGAGGAAGTCTGAAGAAGTCTGAAGACGCTTTTCATAGTGCCTCCTGCTGTGGCTGAATGACCAGGCTGAGTGTCACCCAGATATTAAATGCTGCAAGGGTGCAAAGAACACTGAGCAGGATAACATCACGGGTTCACACATACAAGGCAAAGGACAACATGCCGTGAACTAAGGAGATCTTTGCTCTTTTCAGCAGTGTTTCTGTCTGTCCTTGTTTAACTAACGCGCTGCCCCAGTCTTGGCTATGAACCATTTCAGTGCCCATCCTGGGACAAGCGTACAGGGGTGAAGCAGGGACAGCTGACAATGCCTCCAGGGTTACAGTTTAAGCTGAAGTTGAACTACAGGACAAATTGTTTTTCTTCACTACTGGTTTTCTAAGAGCAAGGAGTAGAAAGTCTCATTGATATGCTGTTGCACATTTAAACTGCAAAGCAGCTCCAGCCTCCCCATCAGAACTGAGGTTACAGATCATTGTTCTGCAAATCCTGTGGCTCTGCCGTTCAAACTGCAATTGCTTCAAATGTACGTCACTGGATTGCTGTATTTCTCTAACCCAAACATATTCATTTATCCAGTCACCAGATTTAGTTAATGACCACCATGCATACAAAAGCTGTGACTGAGTATGTCCTACCACTTGGTTAATCAGATGCAGGACCTGACTCAAACAGCTTGGACTTGCCCAGCAGCGGTGAGAGCAGGGGGACTCCTCTGCTGCTTCTTTCATGTATAAAGCTGTAAAGAAGAGTTTACTTTTTACTTGACATGTGTACAATTTTGTTCTGTAATCTTTCTTTCTTCTCCTCGTTGGGATGCCAACTACTCATTTGAAAGAGAAGATTGTTAAATGACTCAGTCACTAATGTGCTGACTCTCCCCTTTCCAGCAGTAATTTCATAACACCTTGTGTGGAGCTGTAACAGGCTGGATGGTGAAAGTAGCGAGGGAGCTGATTTGCTCCTTTAGCAATCAGAGACACTCACCCCACGGATATCTCAGCTGCTGGAGCTGGAGATCTGATCGGTTGTTGCAGGTCGGTGCTTAAATGGTATTTTTCTCCCATGCTGCAGATCCTGAAATCCTCCCTTCCCTCCAAGTTATGCCTGACTGCCACGAAATACGCGTCCATCAGAGCCAATGAGCTGGACTAACCTTGCTCTCTGAGAGCAGAGGTATCCCCACCTAACTGCAGCTCATCGGAGGCTGAGGTGCCTGCAGGAGGGAGATGTGCTGCACATGGGGAGTGTCCATTTTTTCTATTATTTGCAAAGGCTGTTTGGACAGTGAGGTCATACAAAGTTGGCCAAAGTCAGCTGAGGATGCCCGCAGTATCGATCTAAGGTGTGCCATACTGCAGCAGTGTGTCCAAATGCTCTTGGCAGCACGTGTGCGCACCAGATTTTGTGGCTCAGTTGGAGAAAGCAGAGGAGAGGGCAACAGAGGTCCTGGGGCTCCTGAAGAGCTTTGGTGCTAGAACTTTGTGCCATTCTGACTTGGTGCCACATTAACAAAACCTTTATACTTTCCATTACTTGCAGTTGTTTTGTGTATAGACGTTTTACTCAGTCACACAAACAAATAACAACTATTTTGTAAGTAAACTGGTTATGGCCAAAGGTGCTTTTCTTGCCTGTCACAAATATGAACATTGATCCTGCTGTAATGTGAAACCACGTGAGCCACTTCCACATCTTCTGCCATGTGTGAACATGGGTCCACAGCCAGCACTGACGCCCTGTCTGCTCCCTAGACAGACCCTGCAGACCTGACTCGTGCCCCTTCCTACAGTCATCTTCACATTTTCTTCACATTATGTATCTTATGTATTTTCTTCACACTTCCCAGTGCTGTTGGGAAACTGTAGCAGGGCAGAGATTCAGCCCAAATTATCTGGCTGGGTTTTACTGAGAGAGGGGTAAACCCAAACCACTCCTTCAGCCAGGGCAAGACTGAC